TGCTAGTGCTATATTAAATAATGGTATTCCACTGGAGAACAATGCTAGTAACTGGAATACTTTTCACTGTGATGATGTTGCTGTTATATGTGGTTATGGTGTGTCTATTGATACTTCACAAGGAACTCATTTGTTGAACCATATTGATTCAAGCTGTTCATTTGGTGCAATCATGTTTGGTTGGGGATACAAAAAAAGTTATGCGTATCCTGCTGGCTTTGGAATGAAACCCATTGGGGGTACGTTATGCTATTTGTGAACCTGTATCATTATTTCCATAGTGACATTTTACAGTATTGAGCCTCTTATTTCATCAGCACCAGAGAGTGGTCTAGTATCTGTTACAGTGTATAGGTCTGGTGATGTATCTGAAGCTAGTTCAATTCAAGTGGGAACCTTTATGTCATGTGAGCTTACCAACTGTTTTGATTATTTTATTTATTTTCTTTTTTTCCTGCAGCAAAATACAATGCAGCAGCAAGTGAGTAGTGATAGTATGGCACATTTATTATTTTTGCTTTATAGTTGGAGAAGATTTTGAGAATGAAACAAAAACTATACAATTTGCAGCCAATGAATTTTTGGCTACAGTTAATTTTACTTTTATAGATGACTCTTTTCCAGAACAAGATGAAGTTCTTGATGTTAAGTTTGTTAATGATCATAAAATTAATATAGGAACACCCCAAGAAGTTGAATTGACAATTCTTGGTGATTGTAAGTTTGATTATTTGCCTTTTATATAAAGTGACATTATAGTTTTTCTTGCACTTTAAATTCGCTTTACACTAATGTTTTTAACAAAATTTCAATCATTGCAGATCATAAACTGGATCGAAATAGTATAATTATTGTTTATTCCATTTTGTAACTATGTCTTTCATGGTTTTTATTTTTCAAATGCCTGTAGCTCGACTTATTACTGGTGGTGGTAGTAGTCCTGAAACAGGTCCCAATGTTGTGGTACAAGAGGGGGATAATCAAGTTAAAGTCTGCATAACACTCTCAGGATTAGCTGATTCCTCATATCCAGAACCAATAGAATTTCTTTTTACCCCAACAGAGAAATCAGGAGCATTGAATCCTGCGCAAGGTATTGATATATTAATGGTGGAGTGTATAGTAAATGAAATAGCACCCCAGTTTGGCTTATACTGAGTGATACTTAAATTTCACTTGACATGCTTGTGCTATTTTACTGTAGTTTGTTATCCACAAAAGAATTAATATGGAAAAAAATTGTCCAAATTCTGATCACTTTTTAAAATGATAAATTAACCTAACAGTCTAACAATAATAACTTCATCTAAGTAAACTTATGCCATTTATTCATATTTGGAAAAATAAAGCAAATTATTTTTATCCTTAATGCTAATAGAGGAAGATTATGATAATACAACTACAGCAGCTATAATGCCATCTGGCGATACTGAAGTCTGTGCACATATCAGTACTGTTGAAGATAGGATTTTTAATGAGCCAAATGAACAGTTTTGCATCAATGTAACATCAAATGTTTCAGTTGGTATATTTCATCCTGCAGAGTGTCAGATTACAGTAACCATTATTGATAAAATAGGTAAGAAGAAATTTTGCTTGAAACAAAATTATTTGTAATTAATGATCCATAATTTTTTTCAACTCGTCAAGTCTCATTCACTCATGAAAAAATCAAGCTTTTTTATCACATACTGTTACTTTAATTTCATAAATACCATAAATGTTCAAATAAAAGCCCGGGCATTTATTTCTTTCCAGAACAAAAAAATCTCGTAAAATAAAAAAAGAAAAAGTAAAACTGGGATTCGTACCCAGAACTCCAGATTCAATGCACTTAGCTTAACAAGTTAGGCCATTTGGGACACTTTAAACTAGTGGGACTTATATTGAGTAAAATATTCGTGTCTATACTTGGAAATTCTTAGTACCAGGCATTTATTCAAGCCCGGCCTTTATTTGAACATTTATGGTACTAAGATACGTTATTGCAAAAACAAGCAGTCACTCACTTTAGTAACTGCACATCCTTTCAAACTTGACTTGCTGCCTCTTTTTGTGATGCCTTGATTGTGTATGAAAATTAAGTTTCAGTCTTGTGGTTAGACTCTCCATTATCCATGTGCCATACCATATACCGGTTTAGTTTTGTGGTAAAATATTTTCATGAATTTCAGGGGTTTGGTGATCATTCGCGAAAGTTTTTCACCACGGAATTCTGCTCTCCATTGCCATGTGGTGCAGTCTGCAAGCAATTCGCGAAAATTAATTCCACAAAATCTTAGAAATGCAAGATTCGCAAAAAATTTCCACCACGAAAATAAACCAGTATACGATATTTGATTTATATAGCCATTAATATTTTAATTTCATGTGACAGGTACTAGGGGGTCAATTGATATCAACAGGAGACTAAAAGGTATAATAGCTACATTATTAAATTTATTTTTAAAATGTATAAAAAATTGAACATAAAAGAAAATTATGAGAGCAAATAAAGCACAATGTGTAGAATTATGTCTAATGCTAAATATAAGATAGGCTAAAGTCTATAGTTTAAATTTGACACAAAACACAATGCAAACAAATGCAAAATTTAATTTTTGCCAGTTTTGCTTCAACTTCAGTGCATTTTTGCGTCAAAAGGTCAAATTGCCCATGCACTTTTAACCATTTCATCAGATGTAACAAGTGTTGTAAGAATAGTAGAAGCATAGTACTATGAATCTGTACGCAGTAGTGTCATGATTGGTATTAAAGTTAAAAAAATTGAACAAATGAAAAAATTATATTTTTTATTTTAGGTGTACCAAAGAGTAGTAGTACTACTGAAGGAAACAAATTTTGTTTCTCCTTTTTTGAACCACATATATCTACTCTATTCTTGATAAAAGTTGGTTCACTTGAAAGCTTTCCTGTTCAATATCATATAAGTTCAGGAGTCAATGGAATATATAAAACTGGTACAGTTCAACCAGGATCAATCAATACAGAATGGTATCGATATATACCTGGTAACAGTGAGAGTAGACTTGAAGATTTTCAACCTCTTATAGCAAACATGACAATAGATTTTTTTAACAGCAGGGATATAAATGACTTCACTGGAATTGAAATTAAAACAATAAATAGTTCACATACAATATCAGTCACCTGTTTCAGTATGAGTATAGATAATAGCATAGATACAACAGTGGATAGTTTTGTCGCAGTGCCAGCATTAAATGTGGGATCAATTACTCAACAGTATAACTATTCTATTTTTAATGAATATGGTAACTATTATACAGATTCACAAACAGTAGCAGCAATTGTGGCTTGTGATACAATTGAAGCTGGAGGAGTATCGCTTACTTATTCTAATACTTCAGTTCCTGGTGATTACTTTGGAACTTATGATCAACATGGAGTTCGTTCATCACAAATTAAGTTTAAAAAGTACTACACTCCTTCTGTTTCTTCTTTGCCACCTGGTACTGATGTTTATGCCATTCAACCTATTGGGTTTATGATTGGACATGCATGTGTTTCTGGCTACACACCTTACTGTGAGTATCTCATTGAACAAGTACCTCCATCATATACATGGGGATACAATTTTTTGGTAGGGCCATTTACCATTAGATACTTTAGATATAGATCTATTTTGAAACTTTTCCCTGGTAAAGAAATTGGTACCAACTTTAAAATATTTTGCGCTGATAGTGTTTCAGTAACTGTAAACATACTAGTTCAGAACTTCACAAAAAAGGATCATATGGTTCCAAATAAAGGTGTCTTTGACATTTATCCTCAAAGCTATTGTACTGTACAGTCAAACAAACCCCTTGCTGTTATGCAGTATTTTGAAAGTCATGATTGGTACCGCTATTATGATACTTATCATTATCGAACTGCAGCTCCTGATATGGTATGGATACCACCTGTTAGTCAGTACCTGAATAGATATTTAGTACCCAATGACATCAGATACTATGATAAATTCATCACTAGTGGTGTTTTTGTGACAGTTTTACCTCATTGCTTTGATGCTAGCGCTATATTAATTGATAGCATTCCACTAGAGAGCAATGCTAGTAAATGGAGTATTTTTCACTGTGATAACATCACAGATTCATGTGGTTATGGTATTTCTGTTAATATACAACAAGGAAGAACTCATTTGTTAAAGCATACTGATCCAAGCTGCTCATTTGGTGCAATCATGTTTTGTTCAGGAGATGGAAAAGGTTATGCTTATCCTGCTGGTTTTGGAATGAGACCCATTGGAGGTAATTAATTTTTTATGCATGTGAGATATTTCTTGTAATGTTTGGCATTCATTAATTCATTATTTCAATTTTATCTTCCATAGTGACATTTTACAGTATTGAGCCTCTTATTTCATCAGCACCAGAGAGTAGTCTAGTATCTGCTACTGTGTACAGGTCTGGTGATGTATCTGAAGCTAGTTCCATTCAAGTGGGAACCTTTATGTCATGTGAGATAGGAAGTCTAACATACTTTTATAAATTTTATGTATTTATTTTTTCTCTGCAGCAAAATCTAATCCAGCAATGAGTGAGACGATATATAGATTCTAGTATCACATTTATAATTTTTCTTTTTATAGTTGGAGAAGATTTGGAGAACCAAACAAAAACTATAAAATTTGCTGCCAATGAATTTTCAGCTACAGTTGATTTTAGTTTTTTTATTGACTCAATTCCAGAATTAGATGAAGTGTTTTTAGTTGGTTTTCTTAAAGATCAGAACATCAACATTGGAACGCCACCAGAAGTTGAACTAACTATTCTTGGTGACTGTGAGTTTTGATGCTTAATAGATATATACATGACAGTTAAAACTAACATTTTGTGTAAAAGAGAAGGCACCATTTGGTATTACATTAACACATTATATTAGTCTATTCATATTAAGTTTTGTATTTTTAACAGCAATTTAAACATGTCTTTTATGGTTTTTTTGTTTGCAATCTATTTTTAGCTAATATTATAAAGTTCACTGCTGATAATTATTGTGTGCACGAGGGCAATGGTTCAGTTTATGTGTGTGTAGAAAAGAGTAGAGATACTGTTGATAGTGTTAATCTTGAGATTACGGCTATGGAAGGTTCAACACAATTTGCTGCTGAAGGTAACTTATACTTTTAAATTTTGTAAGTGTTGTCATTGATATTACAACCACAAAACAACAGAGTCTTACTTATTTAATAATTCTTTGTTGTCAGCTGTAACATTTTATTTATCTTAAGCTTTTTTATAGATATCTTTGATTTTGTTGCTGAAACAAAAACTCTTACCCTCCCTGGGTCAAGTACACAAGTTTGTGCTCAATTTCAAATAATACAAGACCCCTTTAATGACTTTAAAGAACCTATTGAAACATTTTATGTCAACTTCATTGCCACAGGTCATTTAGGTGGTGGTCAAATGAAAGCTACTGATAAATCTATAGTAACAATATTTGAACTCCAGCCAGAAAGTAAGCGGCAATATTGAGATTATTAAAGCCCCCTCTTTATCTAAAACATGCCAAAATAATATTAAATCTTTAATAGTTTCATAGTGTAATGTTGAATTGTACAAACTTTAAATGCATGAATAAGTATATCATTTCAATTCCTGCTCATAGTTTTTGCTGACAGTGTTCCAAGCACTAATAATGTTTTCACGCCAGAGAGTCAAGAAAATGTGACTATTTGTGTTAAAAGAACCTTCAATTTTTCATGTACTAGAAACATAACTTTTGAAGCCATAAATAGTGCAATAGGTATTACAGGTAAGAAGTGGAACTAACAGTATTTTCTGTCAACATATTAATTTGACTTGACATTTTCATAGCTATATCTGGTACTGACTTTGTTGCAGAAACTATAGAGGTGCCATTCACATCAGATGATCTCAGAGTTTGTGCAACCTTCATGATTATAAATGATGACATTGTTGAAAAAAATGAGTCATTTATTATTACTGTAACAGCACCAGATCACATACCAACAATGTTAACAATCAAAATTACAATCACTGATGAAGATGATGGTAAGCACATGATTTTATTAATAAAAGAATAATTATTATCAAACTGAGGTGTAATGTTATAGCATTGAAAGGATTCTATTCAATTTATTAATTTCTTTGTGCAGTTTCTGTGATAAAGTTTTCAAATGATGCTTACACTTTTCCTGAGAATATTGATATGGATGTTCAAGTCTGTGTAGAGACTACAAAAGTACTTAGTGACGACATTAATATAAATTTCAGAACTATATCTAGTGATGTTGATGGTGCTGCTACTGGTAAATCGAGAAGTTGTATTGTTCATGTTGAATGCATGCATGCTGTAGCTTTATATCTAAATCATTTTAACTGGTATTTTAAAGCACATAATAGTAACCTTAAATTAAAGATGTTTTTGCCAAACTATCAATTTATAATTTTCATCTTTTGTGCTTTTTACAGCTGATTTGGATTACATTTCCAAATTTGAAACCAAGACACTTAAAAAAGGGTTAAGGGCAGTTTGTTACAATATTGAAATAAAGCCTGATGTTACTAGAGAACCTACAGAATTCTTTCATGTTGAGTTTGAAGTTCTTAATTTAGTTAAACTAATGGACAACAACTACTATGGTTTGTCAAGACTCAATGTATCAAACAGTGAGCCAGCGGTTGTGTACATTATGGATACATCTGTAACAGGTTATTATGCATACAATTAATGTAAAAATTAGACCATTGCTTAATATGTTTCATTTCTTTTATTCTTTAGGGTGTGAGTCAGTTTATGCTGACTTAGTCTTGCTTATTTCTGAATCATCCAGGATGCAAGAAAATCAGTTCACAATGGTGAAGGACCTTGCTGCTGAGATATTAAATCAATTACCGATTGGCAGAAATATGACACATGCTGGTATAGTTAGGCTCAGTAATTCAAACCGAACACAAGTTATTTCTCCTCTTGGTGATGTCACTGATTTAAAACTGTTAAAACAAATTGTCAGAAATATTAGCATAGATGATGAAGACAATAGAGGTTTGGCGACTCATCTAAATTATTCCATGATTTTAGCTATGGATGAAATAAAAAAGAGAGGGAGACTAAATTCAAGGAAAATCATTGTGATAATAACTGATGGTCTTCATTTACATGAGGCATTGCCATATGACATAGCAAAAATTACCAGAGCTCTCAGCTATGATATATTTGCTGTTCTTTTTTTCACAAATAGTTCACTTTCTAATTGGGAAGAACTAACAGGTTATAAAGAACGAGTGCTGTTCTTGAATACATTTAATAGTGGTCAGTCAAAAAGAGCAAATTTATTCATAAATCAGATCTGCAAAAGTATTAGTAAGTGATATTTACCAATTAATGCATTGTTTTGAAAGAAAATTTCTTACCTTTCAGGTGTTGGTCCCCAGTTATTGAACACTATTGGAGAAAAAAAGATAAAAAATGTTGGAGAAACTGTATCATTTAATTGCACTGCAGATGGAGTACCAGTACCAAATATAGTGTGGCGAAAAGATGGAAGTATATAATCCCAGAAGCAAACAGAAGAAGCACTTTATCATCAAAT